CCCTGTGAGCCAATGAGGTGCGAAGGCAGTGGAGTGAGCAAGCAAGCAATGGCAAAGGGGCTGCATCTTTATCTCAATAGACAATGGCTCGTGTCGAATTCCTTGGCAAAATTCGCCCAAGGTGATATTTAAAGAATCTTTTTTTTCTGCTTCACAACCGTGCGTAGAACATTCGTAGAATATTTGAATATAGAAAAAAAATGTAACCAGGCAAGGCCCACTGAGCTACACAGTTCTTTTTCAGAAGCGACCTGGCCACAAATGATAGCTCAACGAAGTGGCTTATCACGTGGAATTTATAACAGCCAAATACTCTAAATGCACGTCGATTCGAAATGTGGAGGGAAAAACCAGAGAACCCGGAGAAAAATCCACGCGGCCAAGGAGAGAGAGAGAGACGCGCAAACTCGAAATACACAGCAGGCATCCGGGTCGGGAGCGAACCCACGATCTCCTCCATACCTGGCGAGGTAGTGAACATCTCACCACCGCAGCACTCCTTATTAGACGTGGAGTGCACGGTGCCACGTGGGTGACACCGTGCGTACTGACCGACGTCACAACGAACGAACGGAGGCGCGTGCCTGGAGGTGAAGTGGTGATGTTGTGTCCTCACGGCGTACCGACGGACATCACACACAAGGAGCAAAACATTAGCCACGCCCCTGGCCCTGCTTGCCCCCACCCTCCCCCCCCCCCCGAGGCCCGATTCAAATGTCTTTTTCAGTGTATTACGTGCTCAGCAAATAGCCAGTGGGAAAGAAAGAAAGACAGCCCAACACTACCATGAAGGGGGCCACACTGGCTCGGATAGGCCAGTGGAAAATGACCACGAGAGTGTAGATCCGTCTCTGGATTTTGCGGCAGTCGGCAGCCTGTGCAGTTCAACTTGTGCTCGTTACGTATCATCATCATCGTCATCGTTTTAGACTTGCCAAGCCTGTGCTGTTGTTTACATTGATTGGCGCAAAATGTGCGGTTAGATGCGGTGCTTCCGGATAGATTGAGGGCATTAGTTGTGACGAGTCTAAATTAATATCTTTGACGGGTGATTCACGAGGGACGTGGTCGTCTAAAATATGACTCGGAGGAAATCCATAAACTATCACAAAATGTGCACTTTTATGCAATTTTACGTTGGATAATTATCGTCGTAGCCTTAACGTTGTTGCGTCAAACAATTCAACGCTCGTATGTGTTTTAAACAACCCGAGTGTTCAGAATATGTCTTTGACATGGAAAGCTCTCCGCCCCCTTCACGAAGCAGCGCGGTGAAGTAAGCTCACGTGAACCGCACGACCTGCACGGCGTGGAGGCGCCCTCATCCAGCAGTGGATGGACAACAGGGCCATGGAACGTGTACCTGACACAGGCAGCACGAATACGCTTCATTAGCAGGAGTATCATCATGACGTACAGCCTCATTGCCATTGAGCTATCGGTCGAAGGCTTCCCATGCCGCGTGTCATTCGTGAGGTTTTATGAGGCCGTACTTTTACCACGGTGGTGAGTGCAGGGTGGAGAAGTGTGTGCCCCAGGACCTGATCAGATGTCTTCCCGTGGCCAGGAATCGAACGCAGGTCGCCGAGTTGAGGGCCTGGCGCCGCTAACCAACCACCGCTCCGCACCGACATTTGTGACATCTCAACTATGAAGACGCAACCTTTGAATTTTTTTTAAACTTTGTTCTTTATTTATTTTTTCAGAGATACATCGCCTTCCCGATGCCGAGATGTGTGCGATCGACTATGTGCCAGCATTCCCTTTTGGTATCCGCATCAAGTACTCATTTAAGGCTCAGTGGACCTCGGGGAGTCCCTGGATCGGCGCAGATTTCATTCGCCACTGACGTTGGCCATTGAACTCGGGTTGAACCGGCAGGCTTCCAACCTTTCTGGACCCAGCGGACCACTGTCAACACTGAAACACAATTCATCGGGGCCACTATGCAGTTAAAAAAAAATGATGGTGCTTTATTTAGAAATAAAATGCGTGTTTCTGCAAAAGTTCTGCAAACCACTTCCCCATGGCCTTAAGTACTTGGGTGTTCGCACTACCAGTTGCCCCCACCACCCATGGAGAAGGGATCCCAGCAGAGGCAGCTCACGAAGTCAGAGCGAAGCAGATAAGCAGCATATTTCACCCACAGCCGGTTAGTGGTGGGCGAGGGGTGGGGGGGAGTCCTGGGCATTAATTCGGCCTGTCCCTTCACCTCCCTTGCTCCAAATAGTTCCACGCCAAGAAGAATTTCGGCATGCCTCCTTGAATGTGTTCCCGTTATGGTTGTGAGTGGTGCGCCGGTTAGCACGCCGCTCTACGAACCCGGCGATCCGAGTTCGATTCCCGCTCGCTGCGATTATCTGAACCGGTCCTGGGCCTCCTCCCCTAGGTCGACTCAGCCTCAAATGAGTGCTCTGGTGCAGTGCGTAAAAATATCGCCACGAGGGAGACGAGGGCGGACGGGCGTGGGGCAGGCAACCCACCCCCTCGTGTGCCGTTCAGGCCTTCATAGGTGCCCCTCGCTAACAGCACTTGCCCCGACAGCCTGTTAATGCTATACGGCGGTGCAGCGGTTTGCGCGCTGTGCTACAAACCCGACCACCCAAGTTTGATTCCCGCTCACGGCCAACGCCAGTGACGTTCATCTGCAGCTGTAGGTATGTTGAACTTCTTTCGAGCTCGTGTGCAAGTCGTGCGAGGCTGAAATGGACAGTGATCTAATGGAGAGCGTCATTCCTAATGAGCCGTTGGGGGGGAAGAAAAGCATTGCCCTTAGATGCGCGAGTTTTTCTATCAATAAATTTGAGACAATGCATTATGTGGAGATGATCCATATATAGGAGTCTGTCACTGTGTAGAAGCTCGATATTGTAGGCTGGAAAGGGAAATTAATTATCTGGTTTAAAAAATGTTTTTCAATGAAGGCAATTATATATTGTATTTCAATTAAACCATTAGGAAAAGTGCTTTACTTGTTTATGACCGGAGTCGAGGCGCCATTACTTTGCCATGATTTTGTAATATTATACGCTGCACACCACACTGGCTAGTCAAATATTTTTTTTGTCACATGATTGATTTTTAACAATGGGCCTTTTTTTTTTATTCGCCGAGTCAGCGGTAGATCGAGCGGCTCGCGATCGCAAGGTCACGGGTTCAAATCCTGGTTGGGGGGGAGGTAGGGGGGGGGGGTGACTCAGCCAATCGTCCCTTGGGGGTCGTTAAATTGGGTGCCACTTTGTGTGCGAGTCAACAACGGGTTGTCCTATGGATAGATTCAACCCCCGACATAGGAATGTGGAATGTCCACCACTAGTTCAGGGCTGAAGAGCAGGAGATGAGCTCAGCGTCAATGGGCACTCGCGCGCGGAATCACGTCGACGTTCTTTGACCCATTGGTTAAATTAATTCGGAAAATCGTTTTGTTGTTTTATCAGCCCAACATAAATATGTATAATAATAAAAAAAACTGTTGTGCAGCCACGCGCGACAAATGCCGGGATACACGCGAGCGTCTGTACGCGATGATGGCCATGCGCCCCACGAGCAGCCTGCATTAACCTCCCCCCCTCCTCACACCCCCCCTCCCCCCCGTTTCCTCTCCTGTAATTTTATTTCGCGCTGTATTCACCGCCGGCGCCAAATTGATGCCCGCCCGATGAGGTTCCCCCACGTGGCGGTGTCTCTGTCTCTCACCTGCTGCAATGCGTGGGAAAAGGGAAATAATTGCGAGATCAATCAAGGGGTATTCGGGGGGGAGGGGGGGGGAGGGGGGGGGTGGGGCTATTCTGGCAGGGATTGGGCTGGATGAGCGGAGCGATAGCTGGTAGTGAAAAACAGCGTGTAGATCTCACTGCATAGATCGACGAGAAGTCTCGGCAATTCGCAGCTGCGGTCAGCACGGTTGGCTACGTACGGTGCCGAAAGCAGTCTAACGTACATACGAACAAATACATACACGCTCAAAAAGCACGCAGTCTTACACACATAGGCCATTCGAGACACCGGGGACAGCTGTTGTCACATCGGGACTATCCCTGCCAAAACCACGAGGCTTTGCAGCTTTGTTGCAAGAGTGTATTGAGTTGCATGGAATAAGCTTTGTGCCTTACATGTCAGAGATGATTTGCCACTATGCGTCGGTGTGAGTAGTCGTGAGGACAAATGCCAGTCAGGGTGCTGGGAAGTCTGGGAACAATTGCCACGTTTTTTCTTCAGCTCACGTGGCCAAGCGGCACCTCTTTTCGCGGCTCTTTTTTCCGGAGGCTCGGGGTTCCGGTTAACGCCGCGGGTGGATGAATGAGAGGATGTGGTGCCGTCTGGTTCACGGTAGATGTTGAGGACCCCGTGGTAGCGTTCGAAAAAAAGGGGGGCAGCTTGTGGAGGCTTTCGCCGTTCGAATTTTGCGAGAGAAATAATTACTTAAAAGTTACTCAATCAGGTAACACCACGTAGCACCATCATTCCCTACTGGCAGACCGTGCTCGTCTGTCAAACGTGGCACCTGCGGCGGCAGCCTCGCGCTTACACGAACAATCTGCGCAAAAAAACTCAAGAAAAACCTCCTCGCATTCAACTTTGCTTCCGTACTTTAATTTTGATAAATTCCACTTCTGGGAATTCAAATATGAGTCTGACCGCCATGTACCATGGCAGAGCGGGGTGAGAAGGCGCTGCCATCGACCGTGTGGACCCAGAGGTCACCTCGAAGAGCATCTCAGATGTGGCTCTGCGATATCCGCTTCCGTGGTGTCGTTCTCGGACGCGATGGCAACAATCGCGACAAAAACTTCGTGGGGACAAACAAAAAAAATAACAAATCACCGACAACGGAGAGGAGAACGGCGCGAGCACACCGATCTTCAAATCTCGAATTGACGATCTGTCCTTTGGGCGCTTCAGGCGCGTGGGTTGGCGTGCGTGCGGCAGGGCAGGGCGGTTTTGCAAGGCCTGCGCTGAGCCGGCTCCGGCGTGTGATGCTGTGACCGTGTCTTGAACAGGGCGCTTTGATCAGCAGATGCTCCGACGACAGCCTCCACCTGTGGAACCTTCGGCAGAAGCAGCCGGCGGTGCTGCACTCGCTCAAGTTCCACAAGGAGAGGTGGGTCTCGCGCGGCTCGCGAACGACGAGCAAGTCAAAGGGAGCGCGGCGGTTTCTTTCCCTGCCGCTCGTACGCGAAAAAAATCGTCTCGCTCACCACAGACAAAGATCCCCCGTGTAGCCTTAACAGGATGTTGGAGGCAAGTGCATGTTAGCGAGTGGCACCTATGAAGGCCGGAACGGTACGCGAGGTTGTGGGTTGCCAGCACCACGCCCAGCCGCCTTTGTCTCCGTCGTGGCGATGTCTACACATGTGCAGCAGGTACTCATTTGCGGCTGAGTCGACCTAGAGGAGACCCAGGACCGGTTCAGATAATCGTCGCTGGTGTTGGCCACGTGCGGGAATCGAATTCGGGTCCCCCGGGTTCGCCGCGCGGGTCTCGAACCGCTACACCGCCGCTCCCCACACGCGCGACACGAACGCGTAGCGCAACAAAAGTAAAAATCGGTCGTCTGCTCAAACGAGCAGCATTTCAGGTTGGGTGAACGGAGCGCTCGGCTATGAAACTCCGTGGGGCAAACCCGCCCCCCCCACCCCCCGTTTCTCCCGTCCACACGATCGACGAAGGACGCCTCGCTCCGCATTTGCGCGCGAGCGTCGTGAAACATTCATCTGCCCGGCAGGCGTGGGCGACAGGGGCCCGGTGTCGCGAGACCCGCGCTCTGCCCCTAACCTACGCCGCAGTCGGCAGCCGGCAAGTTGGGCTCGGCTCGCCGACCCCTCGACGAGCCCTCGGCGTCGTCCTCCACCCGCGCGCTCCGGCCCCCCGGGTGGCTGCACCGTTCGTCTCGGCCGCACGGCGCTCCACGGCCGTAGCTCGGCGCGTCGAGCCGAAGGTGGTCGCGGGCAGCGGCGGCCCGGGGCGTCGCGTGTGCGGAGCGGCCGTGTGGAACGTCGGCGTCGCGCGTGTCGCACAGCACGAGAGTTTGCGCGCGCGTGTATTGGCGCGCGTGTGTGTGCGCGCGTGCGTGCGCGCGCGTGTATTGGCGCGCGTGTGTGTGCGCGCGCGTGTGTGTGTACGCGTGTGTGTGTGTGCGCGCGTGTGTCCGCGCGTGTGTGTGTACGCGTGTGTGTGTGCGCATGTGTGTGTGCGCGTGTGTGTGCGCGTGTGTGTGTGTGTGTGTGCGCGTGTGTGTGTGTGCGCGTGTGTGCGTGTGTGCGCGTGTGTGCGTGTGCGGGTGTGTGTGCGCGTGTGTGTGTGTGCGCGTGTGTGTGTGTGCGCGCGTGTGTGTGCGCGTGTGTACGCGTGTGTGTGTGCGTTTGTCTGTGTGCGCGTGGTGAGGAGCGGTGGTGTAGTGGTTGGAGCGCTGCCCTACGAACCCGGCGACCCGAGTTCGATTCCAGCTCACGTCCAACGATTATCTGAACCGGTCCTAAGCCTCCCTTAGGTCGACTCAGCCTCAAATGAGTACCTGGTGCGGTGTGGAATCATCGCAACTCGGGAGACAAAGGCGGCCGGGCGTGGTGTTGACCACTCGTCCCCTCGGGTACCGTGCCGGCCTTCATAGGCGCCCGCTAACAACCACTTGCGCTAAAAGTTTGTCAAGGCTATCCTGGGGAATCTTTGTCTTTGTGTGTGTCTGTGTGGCGAGCGGTGGTGTAGCGGTTAGGGGCGCTGCGCTACGAACCCGGCGACCCGAGTTCGATTCTCGCTCACGATTCTTTGAACCTGGTCCTGGGACTCCCCGAGGATTACGGGGAGCATGCATTGCGAGCGCCACCGCTGGCTCGCTCATGCGCGATGCTCTGTGGCCTGCGACACGCTCGCGATGGCGTGCCGGCCGCTCCCAACGGACAAGTTCCCGTTACTTCCACATGACAGGGCTCTTGGAGTATTGATTTTGCCACTGTTTGAATGCGCGTCTGTGCATGTCTGAGCTTCTGTGTGTGTGTGTGTGGGGGGCGGTAGTGTAGCGGTTAGCGAGCCGTGCTACCGCGACACGAGTTCGATTCCCATTCGTGGCCGACACCAGTGACGATTATATTTATCGGTCCCGGGTCTCCCCTAGGTCAACTCAGCCTCAATTGAGTACCTGGCGTGGTGCATAAAAAACATCGCCACTAGGGAGACAAAGGCGGTTGTGCGCGGTGCTGGCCACCCAACCCCGTCGTGTGCCGTGCCGGCCTTCCTAGGTGCTGTCACTTGCCCCCAAGGAGTCTGCCAAGGCTACACGGGGGGGTGGGGGGGGGATGGGGGGCGGTGGGGGGAGTGAATCATTGCCGTCTGCCTTTGGTGTGCGCGCGCAGCATCGGCTGCGCCCACCTGCCATTCCAGAGCAAGTGGCTCTACATCGGCACCAAGAAGGGCAACATCCACGTGGTGAACGTGGAGTGCTTTCAGCTCTCGGGCTACGTCATCATGTGGAACAGAGCCATCGAGTTGTGAGTGTGCGCACGTGCGCCGGCAGCACACAACAACAACAACAACAACCGCCATTCGCCACTAAGTGGCGGTGACGTCACCACGACGCTTGTGCCAGGCCATGTGCACATTGAGGCCACGTGAAGTGTCGAACGCCCTCTGGCAGGAGGTCACGGGGCAGACCCAGGTGCCATGGCAGCACACACACACTCACACACACTTACACACACAATCACACACACTCACACACACTCACACTCACTCACACTCACTCACACACACTCACACATACACTCACACTCACTCACTCTCACTCACACACTCACACACACTCACTCACACTCACTCACACACACACACTCACACACACACTCACTCACACACTCACACACACTCACTCACACACTCACACATACACTCACACACTCACTCACACATACTCACACTCACTCACACACTCACACACACTCACTCACACTCACTCACACACACACACTCACACACACACTCACTCACACACTCACACACACTCACTCACACTCACTCACACACTCACACATACACTCACACACACTCACTCACACATACTCACACACACACTCACACTCACTCACACACACACTCACACACACTCACACACACTCACACACTCACACACACTCACACACACTCAGACACACTCACACACTCACACACACTCACACACACTCACACACACTCACACACACTCACAGACGAGAACGATTCGCAAAAATGCAATTTATCTTACGGGACTTTTTGTTGTTGTTGCAAGTATCAAAATGATGAAATATACGAGAACAGACTCGTTACCCTTTCTGGCGATAGAACAGGATGTTCAAACACCAAAGAGGTTCCTTTTGCAAGGCATCAAGTCTGCATTAACCACGCGCCGTGCATGTGGCAAAACATGCAATGAAACATGTTCTGATAATTCACTATGTAACACAATTTTTGTTCCTCGGTACCAAGTGTTATTTTTTATTGTTCATGCCTAAAAAGTATAGAAAATGCCTATTATTCCCCATAAACTTTGCTCCTGTGACCAGGACCTTATGTGAACGAAAGACACAAATTCGCCCGTTTTCTCATTGAAAATAGGTAAATTTCAAAATTCCAATGTCCTCGTCACAAAAGCAACGTTTTCGGGGAATAAGACATTTTCTGTACTTTTGAGGCGTAAGCAATTAGGAAATAACATTTACTACCCAGGAACAAAAAAACTATTTTTTGTTACACAATGTAACGTTTGCATTGTCTTTGAAACGAAATGGCCTACACCAGAGATAGCCTCTTTTGTAATGCATATCAGAAGTAGCTAAATAAATGAGTGGACATCAGCACCTCCTTCACATATATGTCCGTGCACAGTAAACGTGGAATCCTCGTCTGATCTGTCTGTATGGGATAGTGCGTTGCTCCCTCGCACACACGTGGGTTTTCTCGGGGTACTCCGGTTTCCTCCCGCATGTCAACACTCATTAATTGGCCGCTAGCAACCTTGACACACAGAGGACGGTGGAGTTAGGGGAAGTGTTGGCGCCTGCTTACTGCCTGGTCTCTGCGTTTCCCTGCTCGTCTGTGGCTCCTCCTGAGGCGACCTCTCACTTCGAGAGAGAGCGAATGCTGTGCGGCGGCGTGTTACACGTTGGAATAATAATTATTAATTGTTAATACAAAAATAAAATTGTTACACATTCCATCGGCCGCACGGCCTTCTGGGAGTGCGTCATTTCAGAAGCATTTGTTCAAGGGGCCGTCCATAAATGACGTCACGCACTTGGGGGGGGGGGGGTCAGACATTTGTGACGATGTGTGACGAGGGGGGGGGGGTTTGAGAAATGTGACGTCACATCAAAATGCGCAACTTTAAATAAATATAGATAACACGTTCTACTTAAATTTCGATTTCAAGCTTTCGTGACTGCAATGATTCATCTTCTTTGGTTCTTTCGAAAGAACCAAAGAAGACGTTCTACTTAATTATAGTTAAATAGACTTTTTAATAAATGTTTTCTCCTTCAACATCAGAGTGCAGCGCCACATTAAATACGCACTACAATGACAATAGTTTAAAGCGATTTGAAGCATGTTTCATATTACTATTTGGGGGGGGGGGGGGGGGCAGAGCTTTGTGACGTCATATTTGAGGGGGGGGGGGTCTGACTTTTTGTGACGCCGTGTGACGAGGGGGGGGGTCAAAAATCGAGATTTATGGACGGCCCCCCAACGCAAAGCGCGTTCTGGACAAGTTTTCTGACACTAAGTGTCTCACCAGCAGAGCGAGTCTCGCTTGGACCAATGATGGTGAACCGCCTGATGTTCAGAATCAGGAGACGCCCCTGTTGAACAGGGGCCGCAGTTCAACGTGACAACTACGGAACGCATCACTCAAAAATAATCACGAATCACGAGCGTCGTCGCGGAGAGTTTAAGGAACAAAAAAATATCTGAGCATGATGACGTGCCTCCTGCGCATCCAACGTGGTGCGTGTTGTGCCTAACGCGGCCGTCGTGGGCATGAGCGAGGGCATCGTGAAACAGAGGACGTTGCGCAAATGAACACCGCGTTTCCAGAGTCGTACAGTCGCCATCAAACAGCTGTTCAAGGGGTGCAAAGATCAGCGCCAGGTTCGGTACAAGCGGCAGTGTGCGGGACGAAATTTTTTTTTGAAAGCAATTAAAAAAAACCCTTCGTAAATATGTGATCGTGACTTTCGCTGTCCAAATAAATGATCGTGTACAAAATGAGATATTAATAATTAATTGTTTTCATTTAACACACACTGCCGTGAGCATTATTCACATGTAAATTATTGACGCGTTAATTATGTCGAGAGAGGAAAATGTTTTTTTTTTCGTTGTTGTCGTTGAAATGCCAAATCGTTATTATATACCGATAAATGTTTGCGAAAAGCTGACATGAAAGTGAATTGACCACGTCGGAAAGGTGAGAGTGTGAATGCCCTTTGAAGTGTGATGAAAGCCTCACATGCTAATGAGGAGAGATGAAGAGGCATTGAATTGACGGCGCATTCGAACTGAACGTCCGGCGCGGGTCCAGCGTGCGCGCTGCAGGAAAAAAAAACCGAGGACAGAAAGTCCCCACCCAACGCTGCGCTTCTGAGTTCACGTGGAGATACGGGGGTGGGGAGATGTGGGCGAGATTGTGGCTCGCTGCTGCGAGCGCGGTGTTTTGTACTTTCATGTGGGGAGCGAGAAGGCGAGGGGATTAGAGGGAGCGGGATGGGGAAGAACGTGCGTGGGGTAGGACGTAGTTTGTGCTGTTGCACCACTGACGACGCAGCAGCAGCAGCAGCATCACCAAATAATTCGTCGCGTGCTGCTGGTGTCGACCGTGCGAGATGTGATTTGGCAAAGCGGCTGCGCTGGGTCGGAACTATTGGTGCAGGAATTTCGGGGGGTGGGGGAGGGGGGCGGGATGGCCGATTGCCATCGACTCAACACTGCCCAGACTCAACACTGCCCATAGACTCAACAATGCCCAGACTTAACACTGCCCAGACTCAACACTGCCCATAGACTCAACACTGCACCATAGACTCAACACTGCCCCATAGACTTAACACTGCACCATAGACTCAACACTGCCCCATAGACTCAACACTGCCCCATAGACTCAACACTGCCCAGCCTCAACACTGCCCCATAGACTCATAACTGCCCCATAGACTCAACACTGCCCAGACTCAACACTGCCCAGCCTCAACACTGCCCCATAGACTCAACACTGCCCATAGACTCAACACTGCCCAGACTTAACACTGCCCCATAGACCCAACACTGCCCCATAGACTCAACAATGCCCAGACTCATTCACTGCCCATAGACTCAACACTGCCCAGACTCAACACTGCCCATAGACTCAACACTGCCCATAGACTCAACACTGCCCAGACTCAACACCGCCCATAGACTCAATACTGCCCCATAGACTCAACACTGCCCCATAGACTCAACACTGCCCATAGACTCAACACTGCCCATAGACTCAACACTGCCCAGACTCAACACTGCCATAGACTTAACACTGCCCATAGACTCAACACTGCCCAGACTCAACACTGAACTATAGACTCAACACTACCCATAGACTCAACACTACCCAGACTCAACACTGCCCATAGACTCAACACTACCCATAGACTCAACACTGCCCATAGACTCAACACTGCCCCATAGACTCAACACTGCCCAGCCTCAACACTGCCCCATAGACTCATAACTGCCCCATAGACTCAACACTGCCCAGACTCAACACTGCCCAGCCTCAACACTGCCCCATAGACTCAACACTGCCCATAGACTCAACACTGCCCAGACTTAACACTGCCCCATAGACCCAACACTGCCCCATAGACTCAACAATGCCCAGACTCATTCACTGCCCATAGACTCAACACTGCCCAGACTCAACACTGCCCATAGACTCAACACTGCCCATAGACTCAACACTGCCCAGACTCAACACCGCCCATAGACTCAATACTGCCCCATAGACTCAACACTGCCCCATAGACTCAACACTGCCCATAGACTCAACACTGCCCATAGACTCAACACTGCCCAGACTCAACACTGCCATAGACTTAACACTGCCCATAGACTCAACACTGCCCAGACTCAACACTGAACTATAGACTCAACACTACCCATAGACTCAACACTACCCAGACTCAACACTGCCCATAGACTCAACACTACCCATAGACTCAACACTGCCCATAGACTCAACACTAACCATACACTCAATACTGCCTACCAAGGGTTGGGCTGAGAGCAGCTGAAACTAATACACAGACAACGCAAAACATATGCAAGTTTGGTAGTAAAAAAAATAGAGTAACGTGTCATCGGTTTAATTGTAGACGTTTGCGGTCATGTGGGCACGGAGTCACTGACCTTCGACGAGTGAGGAGCAGCTGGTTAAATTAATTAGTGAAGGCGTGGATATTTATATAAATAGTAATACAATATGTGA